CAAATCTTAGTACTACCAAACACAGCATACGAATGCTCCATACACCCAATTAATCTCCGCAAATTAACATTACATAGCCCATTGATACCGCACACACGCCACCAATACCTAACATACCCATTGAAACACACACGACATTAATTCCACTGACCCCATCAATACCACGCACCTTAATTCCATGCACCCCATTAATACAACACCGAATTCATACCACACAATCCATTAATACTCCACAACCCATTAATAACCCAACCACATTCATACTTCACAAACCAATAATAGCCTACACACCGCATTGACTTCCCCCATATCCCATTATTACCCCATACACAACATTAATATCCCAAACAACCCAATAATAACAAATACCTCATTAATGCAACATACCATAATAATACCACACTCCCCATTAATTCCACACAGCCCATTAATAAAAATCACACCGCATTAATGCCTCACACACTATGAATGCCACACAGCCCATTAATACCCTCAACACATTTGTACTGTACATTAGAATAATACCCTCTTAAAAAAAACTAATACACCACACAAGCTAGTAATACTTTACAACAAATGAATCCCCCACACATTCCAGTAACTACATACACCCCTTTTATATGACATACCCCATATATGCTACAAACCCCACTAATACCGCACAAACTACTAATATCATGCAGCCCATTATGACCCAATAATCCATTAATACCGCAAACCTCATAAATACCCCACACCAAATTCATACCGCACACCTCATTATTAGCACATATTAATACTCCACACACTTCAGTAATGCCCCAAACTCCCATTAGTAAGCCAAACACCTAATTAATACCACACACAATTATTACCACATTCTCCATTAATAACACATTCACAATTGATACCACGCACCACATTAATACACGACACATCCTATTATTAACACACATGCCACTAATATCACTCTCACATGAATATTACGGCAAACCCCGTTAATAGCACACCCCGTCAATAACCCGTAGTACATTGATACCCCACATCTCATTGATACTCCACACACAAATAATTCACCACACCCATTTAATATGCCACTCAGTCCATTAACAGGAAACAAATCTATTAACAACCCACAAATATTGAACACACAACATAAAATTAGTACGTAACACTCCCCGTTAATATCCACATCCCATTAATACGGCAGAATCCATTAATACATCATGCACTCCATTAATACCCCACATCCCAATAATACCCCTCCTAACTTTAATAGTCCAAACCACATTAATAACCCACAACACATTATTATGATGCTCCCCATAAACCCCATTAGTACCCTAGCAATACTATACACGCATCATTAATACACCGCAAAACCCGTTTATACCGCACACCCCATTAAAAACACACGCCCCATTAGTAGAACAAACCACATTAATACCACACGCTACATTAATAAATCATGCACCCATTAATACACCACACGCCCCACTACTACCCCAAAAAACACATTAATGCCACACACATCATTAAAAGCACACACCCCATTATTTCCACAAACCCCATAATACCGCACATCCTACTAATAATGCACACCACGTTCACACTCCATAAATACTCCAAAACTCATTTATGCCATACGCACCCCATTAATAGTTCCAACACACCATTAATGTCATAAACACCACAGTAATATACACATACCCTATCGATACCCGACACAATATTAATGCGCACAACTGATTAATACCCCACAACGCACTAATGCCTCATACACCCCACTAATGCCAGGCAGAGCCTCTTATTATGCCCAAACTAATTAATACACCGCAGACCCCATTAACACCCACACCCCTTTTAATACCACACAGCCCATTATTACCCATAACCTCATTAGTACACTGTAGCACATCAATACCCCACACCCCATTAATACGCCACACACCATCAACACTTCGCAAACCATTAATATTCTATCAAACCTGTTATTTCCCCACACACCCCATTAATACGCCACAGCACCCATTAGTACCTAAATCAAACCATTTTTACCCCTCGCCTCGTTAATATCCAACACATCATTACTCCACACAGCACTGATACCCCATCACATTTTATTAATACCCCATGCGGCGCATTATTATCCCACAAACTCCATTAGTAGCCCACACAATCCAATTCTATGACAGACCTCATTAATAAACCACAACCCTTTAATACATACACACAATTGATAACTTACACACCCCATTAATACCACACACACATGTAATGCACCGCAATTCATTAATATCCCTCACCCCATTGATGTCCAACACAGTATTAATACCTCATACCCCAGTAACACCCCAAAAGTAAACACACATGTCAATGATACACCAAAAACTCCATTAAAATCCCATTAATGCCGCACATTCCACTAATGCCACACAACCCACTGGTACAGCACTCCCAATTGATACCACATGCCGCATTAATACCCAACAACCCATTAATACCGCAAAACCCACTGAAACACCAATCTCCATTAATACCCCAAACCCCATTGATACAGTACATCGCATTGGTATCCAACACCGCTTTAGTAACCCACACCCCATGAATAACCACACAACCAAATAATTCCCCCACCAAGGTAATAACTCGGAGCCCATTCATAGCCCACACACCTCATTAGTATCCCACACCCCGTGAACACACCACAGCCTATTAATAACCCGCACACCATTATTAAACCATTTATACTCCATCACATAAATATGCCATTAATAATCAACAAATAACCATTAATATACCAATGACACTCATTAGCACATTTAGCACACCAGTAATTACACAAATTCCATCACTATCCAACAAACCAAAGGAATACCCCACACAAGGTATTAATACCAAGATCAATCGATTAATACCCATCACCACATTGATACACTATTACATTGCATTAAAAGAACATGCAGCACTTTAGTGAACCCACACACTTCATTTATACCCCACAACACCCAATAATATGCCAAACCATTAAATACCAATACCCGACTGATACCCCAATACCGCTTTGATACCCAACACGTCACATTGATACCTAACAAATATTTACTACCGCACGCACATGTAATACACAACACCGCATTAATACCCCTCACTCCATTCATAGCCACAACCCTGTAGTACCCCATGAAACATAATAGTACATGACGCAAACACACTAATACCCCATTAGCACTGTACATTATATCAACACCACACAACGCATTGATATAAGCTTCCCCATTTGGCTCCACGCTGGACAGCGTCTAAATGCGTTTCACAGTAATGGATCCCGGGGCCCAGCCAGGGAGAAGGAGAGGAAGGTGACCAAAGGCGCGGTTGATAAGAAAGGTCTTCAGTAGAGACCTGAAAATATGAAGAGAGGGGACGAGGCGAAGGGAGTGAAGAAGGGAATGCCAGAGCCTCGGGGATACTGGATGAATGCACGGCTTTGGAGGGTGGAGCGGAGGACTAGGACGGCGAATAGGCCAGAACCGGAGGAGCGAAAGCAACGGGTACTGTTGTGAGGACAGAGGAGGTCAGAGAGTTCGGGGGGTGCAGAGGAGTGGAGAGATTTGATGACAAGTGTGAGGATCTTGAAGTCGATCATCTTTGGGACAGGGAGCCAGTGCAGTCTGTCGAGGATTGGAGTAATCGGGGTTTGGGTAACAATGGGTGTGGCAGATTTTTCTACGACCTGAATATTAAGGACGGTTGTGGAGGGGAGACCGATGAGGAGCGCATTTCAATAGTTCAGCCGAGAGCTGGCAAAGGCATGGACCCGGATTTCAGCGGTTTTTGGAGTGAGGCATTGTATGCCAAACATGTAATTAATTCCACACACCCCATTAATACCACACTCCACGTTAATACCAAGCACCCAGTAATGCCACACTTATTGGATATTCACGTGAGGTAGCGTTCTGCAAAGCGTGGTATTGGTAGAGGCTGACTCTGAGCCACAGGGAGTGCTTTTTGACCTGAAGCTCAATCATAAAAGAGCGCTTTCAACCGAGATTTGTCAGAGGGAGGGAATGAGTTCCAGACTTTCGTTATTAAAGGCACGGCCTCTAATGATGGAGAAGACGAGAGATGATGAGAAGTCCGGCGTCAGCCGTGCACATGCAGTAAGCTTGGAGTGTGGCGTAAGCAGATTGGATCGGCAGGGAAGTGTAGGAGCATGAACGGATTTGAAAAGTAGCGAGAGCAACTAGAAATCAATCCGTTCGGTAATTGAGAGCCATTGGATACTGCAAAGAATTGCAGTGATGGGATACAAATTGTTGTGCCCTTGATATGAGCAGAATTTTCTTGTTTAACTCTCAGAAGTGAAACGATTCAAGTTTAGGAGGGAAGACAGGAAGAGGAAGACAGCGAGGATGAAAAGCGAGGAGGCAATTAGTTAAACACTAAATGCGTTTGACATTGATTTCCAGCACGGAAACAAAGACATTCGGACCAGATATTCTATGCCGATTTTCGCTCTCTCTCCTTTCTGCACTCACAATCCACTCCTTACTCCCTCACTTCTATTCCCACTTTCCTCATGTGTCTATCTCAGTTCATCTAAAATACAGCTCATGTAGTTCCCACAGTAACTGTTTGGTTTATGTCCCCGGTTACGCCTTTCAGCCAACATCTGCTAACCTTATCGAACCATTTTATAATTATAGACTCTTCTATTAGTTCCCTTGTTGAACATCACTTCTTTCGTGAGGAAAGAACTAATGTATCTGATCAAACTGTCATGATATCAGTAATCTGTCGCACGGGGATCATGCAAGTGGATTAGCCTTTCTCTTCGGGAGGAGTGCTGCACTTGGAGAGTAAATGGGAAGTGAACAGGTGCATGGCATCTCCAATAATGAAGCTCACTCCCAGCAGTACATTGGCAGTGGCAGTGTTATCCGCCGTGCATCTTGAAACACAGGCCAGAATGAGCGGACTGACAAACGCTTATAATGTTCTTACGTTCTGCATTTCAGAGCAAAAGGAAGACCTCACACCTCCCGTCAGGATCAGGTGAGGATGGAGGTAACCACGCAAGAGACGTGACTGAAGACAAAGGTTCAGCAAAAGGAGAGCGCAGTCTGGTCAAAAGAGTAGGCGTCTCACTTGGTGAAAACAAGACCTGAAAACATCTAAACAAGGTATTTTTTCTGCAAAAAGCTGCACAGATATATTGAGCACAAAAAGATTTGTCCTTTTTTTTGCCACTGCTGACACTGTTTTCCTAATTCTGTCATTAATCACATTTTTCAATTCAAAGGAATGGAATCAGAAACTGTCCTGAACCGGGTCCAACCAATGCATCTTTACCTTCTGATGTTGCGCAGAATTCTCTAAGTTAACAGTCCAAAGCATACACACTTATAAGGAAGTAATCATGCCTCAGTGATTAGGGTACCGTTAAAAGGCCTTGAAAATATTAAGCATCACAAATATAATCTTATAGAGATACATAATCCCAGCTGATGAGGCCAAGACAGTAAGTGAGGTTTAATATTTCATATGAAGAATGGCACATGCAACAATGCAACAAATCCCCAGCATTAAATTAAAATTGTCTCAGTGTCCTCGCCAGACGTCAACAGCACGGATCACTCGCCCTCTCACCTAACGGCTTTTTGCAGGAAGCGGTTGCCGGCAAAAACGAACTCTGACAAAAACTGACTTGCCTGAAGTCATCTATATAAATGCAAGCTATTGTTGACCACAATAGTTAATAGTAATTACTGTGAAGCACTTTTGAGCCTTTTCACTTGTTCAGGTACTATCCAAATGCTAATATTATTTAAGAATTGCTGAAGCAGCAATTCCTGAAGCAAACGCTCATATGTTGCTCACATAAATCTTTGTTTTCTCCAATCAGGTCCCAAATTGGATGACACTGCGAGTCACCCTTACCCTAATCGTAGAGTTGTGATATTTCATGCTGAGTTCTGTCAGAAACAGAGCAGAAGACATCGAGGGCACCATTGAGATACATCAGGAGCATGATCTGCATGCAGAGTAAATTCTTCTTCCCAGAAGAGAGTGTGTCAACGATCTAACACATATAAGAACATAGGAATTAGGAGAAGAAGTAGGCCATTCGGGCCCTCGAGCCTGCCCCGCCATTCGACAAGATCATGGCTGATCTTCAGCCCTAATTCTAATTACCTGTTCTATCCCCATATCCCCTCAACTCTCATTATTAAAATATCTTTCAGCCTTATGCAAACAGGAACGTCTCCAGCAATCGATCTTAGTAGAGTTATTGTACTAATGTACCGAATGCGAAAAGAATTTCATAACGTCAAACTGCACCAGCCATCACACCCAGGAGAGAGACCCTATAACAGTATCGAATGTGGAAAGACATCCACACGTTTCGAGCTTCTACAGATACACCATTGAACACACAGGAGAGAGACCGAATCACCGGGCTGACTGTGGTTGAGTTTGACACGTTCATGGCATCTCCAGAGGCACCATCGATCACACCCAGGAGCGAATGTATACGTTTCCCGATTGTGAAAAGTGTTTAATATTTTCAGAAGTCTCAAAGACAGCCATCACAGAGAGGCGAGAGAAAGAATAAATGTAATGACTTGTAAGCTGTACTTCCAAACATACTAGAGAGGGCGCATGGGAGAGACTGTGTTAATGTCTTGAATGTGGGAAGAGATTTGCTGTTTCCAGCAGACGAAAGTTTAGAAATGCCTTGAAAGACTCTGGTACTGTCGGAAAGGTTTCCAGAAGACGCTACTGATCGCAGCCAACAAGAGAAGCTCCTGTGAGGCAAACAAGAACACTACAATTTTGAGGAACAGGATATATCCACTAGATCCAACAGCGACTCATAGTTGACGCACAAGTACGGCAGTTGGTCCCCATTTCTCCTGACCATGTGTTGGAGCGCCACGATCTACTGAAGTACCTAACACACGTGGCTGTTGTGCTCATGTGAGCTATCACCGGGATGTGTGCCTCCTGCCGAGTGTAACAAAATGGCACGGTGAGAAATAAGAACAAGTGTGACCCCACTTACTCGAGTTGCGACCTCCACCGTTACTGCTAACATCAAGACTCGAGTTTGGAGCCGACCGGTGTGACTAAAGTGAGCCGACAGCAGAGTGAGATGGAATTGGGTGAGTGTGAGAATTACTTGTTTTAGCATCTGTATGTATACTAACTGTTTAATTACCTATATGTATGTGTACTAACCGCTGATAGAATTGGTAAATTGGGTTTGTGGTTAGGGTTAGCAGGACCAGCTGTGGTCAGTTTACCAAATAGAAATTTAGTCCAATTAACTTAACAATAACAAGTCGCAGTCCGCAGATTTCTGATATCAATTAAGTATAAATTGCTGCTAACATGAGGAAAAAATAACAAGTTGGGGTAAATAAAGGGGAGAACAGCGGGAGCCTCATTTGATTAAACAGTTGTGAACTGCCACTAAGGTGAAACCAGAGTGAGAAGGAATTGGGTGAGAGTGGGAATTAGGTACAGAAGTAGTTGCAACGCTGGGCTTGTGGCCAAGGGGTTAAATATACATGGTGGATTTTTAAAAAAATACACACTTTGAAAGAAAAAATCCTAAATTACAGAGTGAGAGAGAGAGAATGGAGAGGACGGCCTGGCAGGTGTGGTTCGAGGAAAACAATATGTGGGAGTTGACGGAGGACATTCTGAGCCCCGGCGACTTCACACACAGCGAGTGTCTGCCATTGAGGAAGCTCCAGCTTCGAGTAGCTGAGCTGGAATCCAAGTTGCAGACACTGCGCTGCATCAGGGAGAACGAGAACTTCCCGGATAATATGACGGAGAAAACGGTCACTTCTCTGAGGCTCAGTAAATGTATCGATCTTGTTAGTGGACAGGAGAGTATGACTATCAGTGCGGCAGGTAACGGGATCCTTGAGAGAGTGGTGATGGAGCCTTGGGATTGAACCTTGTCGAACAGAAATGAGGTACTTGCAAACTGTGTTGACGTGGAAGCCCTTACGCATAGTGGGAAAGCTGTTTGCAGGAGATCAGCCATGTGGGGGAAGCACAAAGAAATGCGGTTATGATAGGGGACAAGACAGTTAGGAGGTGGCATTCTCTTCTTCGGGATCATAACCAGGAGTCGCGTAGGATCTGTTGCCTTCCTGGAGCCAGGGTTAAGGACATCTCTTCAGGGTTGGAGAAGAATTTGAGGCAGAAAGGGGAGGAAGCAACTGTTGTGATCCAGATAGGAACAAGTGTCATAAATAGGAATAGCAGTGGCGCTCTAATGAGGGCAATGGTTGAGCTCCGGGTGAAATTAAAAAAGCAGAACATCGAAGGTAATAATCTCATTATTACCACCTAAAGTACGTGCAAATTGCTACAGGGAAAGGAGGATTAAGGAGCAAAAATGCGTGGCTGAAAGCGGGGTGTGGGAGGCAGGGTTTCAATTGATGGGCCACTGGCATCAGTTTTGGGGGAAGCGGGAGCTTTTGTGCGGTGATGGGTTCTACGTTCCCAGGTTGGGAATAATGTCCTGCCAAAACAAAAAAATAGGGAGATAGATGGAGCCCTTGTTGAAAAGGATTTAAAATAGTAAACAGATGGGCTCTTTTGATGGTAAAAATAACAACAATATAGGGCCAGTAGAGGACAAGAGTAACGATCAAGTTAACATGAACACTATCGGAATATAATGGTAATAGGAAGTTAGTACACAACGTGTAGCAAATTAAAGTGTGAGAGAAAAATATTATCAGAGCCTGTAGGCAAGTTGATGAAAGTTACCCAAATGAAAATTATATACACATATGCACGTAGCATAAGAAATAAAACATGCGAACTGGAAGTACAAATTCAGCTCAAAGGGTATGACGTACAGAGACGTGGTTGCAGTACTGGCAGCTAAATATTCGAAGCTGTAAAATCTTCAGAAAAGAAAGGAACATTAGGATGGAAGGCAGAATAACAATGTTGTTTAAAGAGAACCTTACAACAGTGGAAATGAGAGAATACAATATGGGCAACCAGGTAGTGAAAACACTTTGGGTAGAAATAATGAAATAATAACGAAGGAAGATTCCATGTGAAGTTGTCTGTAGACCTCCAGAGAGTTGTGATTTATGGGGAAATATATAAATACGGAAATCGCGGAAGCTTTGAGCAAAGTCAACATGGTTGTAAGGGGAGATTTTAATTTTCACATAGACTGGAGAGAAGCAGGACACCTCAGTTAGCGAATTTCTGTAATGTATTTAGCACAGCTTTTTGGAACAATACCTGTTAGAGCAAACAAGGCAACAAGCCATACTAGATTTGGTGATGAGCAATGAGCCAGATGTCGTCAATAATGCGACAGTAAGTAAACACCTTGCAAATAGCTATCATAATATGATTGAATTCGACATAAGATTTGAGAGGGATAAGGGGGAGTACCAATCCAAGGTGCTAAACTTAAGTAAGGCAAAATTCAATGGAATGGAGCAGGTATTAACCGCAGAAAACTGGGCTGGATTGCTAGTGGGTAAATCTGCAGATGAGCAATGGGAAGCATTCAAAAAATTATTGATAAATACGTAAATACCTCTAAAATACAAAGGCTCCAATCGTGCAGTTAAACAACCATGGTGGACACAATCGGTTAGATTTGATTTGTTTTGATTCGTTTTGGAGGAATTATTATTAGGTGTGTGGAGTAAGGAAATTTGCCCGAGGTTTCGCCCTCTGCCTGGAATTGAACCCAGGTCTCTCGCTTGCAAAGCGAGTGCTCTTACCACTGAGCTACAGGACTCCTATTGGTCACTGTGTGTGTGTGCGCATGTGTGTGTGTAAAATATACTGTGAAGCTACTCAATTTAATGGAAGCATTATTATTATTATTATGATTTCACTCTTTGTGTTCGTGTCTCTGAATCTCTGTCACTGTGTACCGCTATGTCTTCTGTCGTTCACCTTTCTGCATCTCTTGCTCACACTTTGTCTCTGTGTGTGTATGACAATGTATGAGTGTGTCCGTGTTTTTCAGTGTGTGCGTGCGTGTGTGCCCTCCGTTTTTATGTTTGTCTCTCTGTTTCTCTCGCTCTTTCTTTTTCACTTTTGTCTGTGTCTTCTTGTGTGTGTCACTGTGTATTCCTCTCCGTGTCTGTGTTTGTCGTTGTGTCTGTATGTGTATAATGTGTCAGCTATTAGCTGTAATAAAGTCGGTCTTTCTCTTTCTAACCTTTAGAACTACCATCTGCCTGGTAACTTGTGACGAGTTTCCATTCACTTTAAAAGGTTATGTGTCTATCTGTGCCTCCGTGTGTCTCACCGTGTGTCTGTTTGTCTGTGAGTTTGTGGGTGTGCACCTCTCTATGCCTCTGTCTCTGACACTGCGAGTGTGCATCATTGTGTCTCCATTTGTGTGTCTGTATATGTGTGTGTTTGTGTCTCTGTCTCTCTGTATCACTCTGTGTGTGTGTGTGTGTGTCTATCTCTTTCATTTTTAGTGTCAATGTCTGTGTGTGTTTCTGTGTTTGTCTCGGTACTTCTGTCTCTATGCGATAACGTTTGTTTCTCTGTGTTTGAGTGTTTGTGTCTGACACATGTTGATGTGACACAGGTCCACAGAAACACAGAGGAAACAAGAGAGGCACAAATAGAGGCAGCAGAGACAGGGTTTTATATTGAAGATTCTGAAAGAATCAATAATGTAGGATATGGCAAACTGTTTTATTCTGTACTTAACTGTAGAGGAAGACACGGCCTTCTACAGAAACGGGGAAAATTCAGACATCTGTGGAAAACCTATTTCAGTGAGAGAACAGAAAACTTATTGGACACCTTCTCAAGGGACACAGCGGAAGCAGAAAGTGTAATTGATTTCAAGACAAAAAATAGGTAGATTTCTGCTAGGCATTGATATAACAATAACATAATAATAATATCGTGATAGTGCTTGCATTTGGCTCATCGATTTTCAATTCTTATCGTTGTTCCAAAGCGCTTCACAGAATAGACTTGAAAGTGAATTAGCTGTATATTTTGGGCGAAATGCGGCAGCCAATTGCACAAAGCAGTGTCCCACAAACAGTTGTGGATTGAAAATGACCAATTTAT